AGAAAACGAGCAGAAGGAAGCTGGGGGATTTCGTTTAGACGATCGGCTACAGCCGGTGTCTGGAAAATTGATACGAGGGGGGATGAGCTGTAGTTCAAACCTGTGACTCCTTAACTGGTTTTGGGTATAAACATCTGCCGACACCCCGCCATGCACTGAAGCAGCAACTCTGCTCCTACCTCAGCCTCTCTTCCCGGTCCTGGGACCTCATCTTGTCCTGTCTCGTCTGCCTCAACCCACAGCCACTTTGCCCGGTGGGACTGTAAATCCCTAGAAGCCAAAATCAAGTCTGTTCACCTCTGTTTTCTTTGGGACACTGAGCCCAAGTCAACACTGAATAGATGTTTGCTAAGTTGAGGTGCCTGTTATTTTTATCTTAATATCTAGCCAAATATTTCCACTTTTCTCACTTTTTCACCAATATTTCAAACTCAGACGTTAGGGTGGCATCACATCAAATTCAGGTTTATACTGATCTTAAATGGCTTAGTTGTTGTTTTTTCTGGAGTCGCCTGTTAATCGAAGCCAAAAATCAGTAAGACGGAAGGTGTTTGTTTGCTTTAAAATTGTGGGCTCGTTTTGGGAAAATGCAAGTGGAAGAAATTCAGCGTTTGTTTCCCGTGGACGCTCCGCTGATACACGTCTTCCCATTTCTAGGTGTTCTCTGTTCTATGTACAAGGATTACATCAGACCTCGGTTCTCCGATGTGTCCAAAAAATGAAGCTACATACAATAAAGACGAGAAGCCTTCTGGAAACTATTATGAAGAGTGAATTTTCAACATGTAGCCAGATATACAGCAGAAGTACTAGGGAGAATTTTCATAGCATCGTATAGTAAGTCTCAATTATTTAAGTGGTTTCCCCGGCAGTAGTCATATTCAACTCAAAAATATCCTTATTTTGTAGTTAGTGACAGAAGATAATCTGTGTTAGAACAAACCAATCATAAAATTAGGAGTCGACTCTACCCAGTGGCTACAGAAATCTTGTCTATATCCACATTAAATGTGACAGTCTGTTCACCGCCTCATTCACCCCACATAGGGCAGGGTAACTAAAGCTTTCGTAAACTCAGTTTTAGCATGGGCAACAATTATATCAAAGAATGGTCCTATTGTTATTTAAATTTAGTTCACCACTGTGCACCTCACTCTTACATAGAAACTTGACTATACAACCACAAACATAAATGATCACCATTTAAATAGCTGTGTATTCACTTTTTTTATTTCTTTAAAGCATTTCTAGGAGTATGAAGGTAAATTGCTACCAGGAAAATCCCCTTCCCCGCAGATAGCAGTATAGTGGGGGTGAAATGATCTAGTCCAGCTCTGCTATGGCTAATCTCACACCGCGGTACAGAAAACACAATGTGGAACCCAAGCCAACGTCACATGTTACACGTGCCTCTGGCCTCAGGCTCCTCTGTGACCACCCTAGGGCTCTAAAAACACTAGACTTTGTTGACCAAGTAACTGTCCTGGCTCAGACATACTCCCTAAGACTCCAAGCCTGAAAAACAAAACAAGAAAACAAAAAAAGATTCACTGAAATAAAATCAAGAATGCACGGCAAGACAATCTGTGGTGGTGGTTTCTTCCCTGCTGTTTCCTGTGTTGTACAGGGTTATTTTGACAGGAAGGTGAGTCCCATATTTCAGAAAGTAAAAGATGCAGGAATATTTGAAAGTAGGTCTGCAATCCAGGTTAACCCACTGTTCTGTGTTTTATGCGCACCTTTCCCCACTGGCACAAGTCATTATTTCAAAAGCTGTTATTTGTATCTATCACGAGGCTCTTCTAATGCCACCAACAAAAACACAAATTTGGGTCAACACTGTCCTCTTTGGAAAATGGGCAAGGAAAGAATCCAACTACTTTATTCCATTGGAGAAAATATTCCAGCAGCTGGATCTAATACGTTTGTGAAGGCCAGGAGACTTGAGGACAGCTGGCACAGAACGCCATCCTACAAAGACCCTCTTAAAAAAAAAAAAAAAGGAAAGAAATGTTATCCTTGATGCCGATTACACCAGGAAATGATCAGCTACTGGAAAGATTCCACCCTCTCAAATTCTCAGCATTAAAGCAGATTACCTGAAGTGTTTAAGTGGAAACAGCTTTTCTTACAAAACCCAATAGGTTCCAGAATTTTCTATTCTTACTAAGAACTAAAGTAATATGTGCATTGCTTGAAATAAGCCATGCAAAGTATTTATTTATTAGAGCAGCCATGCATTAGAACCCACAAGTCATTAACATCTTCTCCCCTTTGTGGAAGAGTACGCAGGCAGCTCATTCACCACACCGGCTTAGGCAACGAGGGAGGGCCAGTGCAGGGAGACCCGTGAACAGCCAACACGCAGTGCCTGAATCTGAACAGTACTTCTGGGGCAAAGCTCTGGTGGCTTAATATCATAATGTTTGAAGTGCAGGAGGCTATTTTCAGCAGCTACTATAACCCTCACTTGCTAGTTAAACTATTTCACATGCCTGGATATGCTGTGAGTGCCTTTTATATTAGGAGACACACAGTTAAGTAGCAGTGGGTGCTCAGTAACAACGATTTAATGGCATTTTTCTGACACTCTGGGTATACAGTGCCAGGGTGTGCATTTACAAACTGACTCTCTTGTGTTAATAAACCCCAGGGACTGAGTGAGTGTATGCATACATGCTACTCTGAAAATTGAATACATTGATACCTATATAATCACGTAATACAGAAATCCAGATTTTTATATTATAAATTACAGAATGATTAAATTTTTAAAAATATATATTTTATTGCCCTGGCTGGTGTTGCTCAGTGGATTGAGCACAGGGCTACGAACGACACGATCGAGGTTCCATTCCCAGTCAGGGCACATGCCTGGGATGCAGGCCAGTTCCCAGCAGGGGACTCACGAGAGGCAACCATACATTCATATTTCTCTCCTTCTTCCCTTCCCCTCTAAAAATAAATAAAATCTTTAAATATATATATATATTTTATTGATTATGCCATTACATGCTATTTTCCCCCTTCATTCCCCTCCACCCCGCACACCCCTCCCCCACCATTCCCCCCTTTAGTTTATGTTCATGTGTCACAAGTTCTTTAGATTTTGTATTTCCCCTACTATTCTTGCCCTCCCCTCTATTTTCTACCTACCGTCTATGCTACTTACTCTCTGTGCCTTCTCCCCCCTTCTCTTCCTCCCACTCTCCTGTTGCTAACCCTCCATGTGATCTCCATTTCTATGGTTCCACTTCTGATCTAGCTGTCTTCTTAGATTGCTTTTGTTTTAGGTGTGGTTGTTAATAATCATGAGTTTGCTGTCCTTTCACTGTTCATCTTTTTTATCTTCTTTTTCTTAGGTAAGTCCCTTTAACATTTCATATAATAAGGGCTTCGTGATGATGAACTCCTTGAATTTGACCTTATCAGAGAAGCACTTTATCTGTCCTTCCATTCTAAATGAAAGCTTTGCTGGATAGAGCAATCTTGGATGTAGGTCTTTGGATTTCATAACTTGGAATACTTCTTTCCAGCCCCTCCTTCTTGCCTACAAGGTCTCTGTTGAGAAATCAGCTGACAGTCTGATGGGAACTCCTTTGTAGGTGGCTGTCCCCTTACCTCTTGCTGCTTCTAGGATTCTCTCCTTCATTTTAATCTTGGCTAATGTAATTATGATGTGCCTTGGTGTGTTCCTCCATGGGTCCAACTCCTTTGGGACTTTCGGAGCTTTCTGGATTTCCTGGAAGTCTATTTCCTTTGCCAGATTGGGGAAGTTCTCTCTTTATTATTTGTTCAAGTAAGTTTTCCACTTGTTGCTCTTCCTCTTCCCCTTCTGGTACCCCTATAATTTGGATGTTGGAGCATTTAAAGATGTCCTTGAGGTTCCTAAGCCTCTCCTCATTTTTTTGAATTCTTATTTCTTCATTCTTTTCTGTTTGGTCATTTTTTTCTTCCTTCTAGTCCATTCCCTTGATTTGAGTCCCAGTTTCCTTTCCATCACTATTGGTTTCCTATGCATTTCCCTTCATTTCAATTAGTTTAGCCTTCATTTGTTCCTCCAATTTGTGACTAAAATCAACCAGTTCTGTGAGCATCCTGATCACCAGTGTTTTGAACTGTGCATCTGATAGGTTGGCTATTTCTTGGTTGCTTAGAATTATAGACTCTGAGGCTTTGAGCTGTTCTTCAGCCATAATGTTTTGGTCAGGTTGCGCCTGTTACATATGAGGGGTGAAGCCATAGGTGTTCACCAGGGTGGGGTGACCCAGTTGCTGGGTTGTGATGCTGTATGTGGGGGCAGGGTCAAAGAGGGGTAATGGCATTTGTTTTGCTCTCTCTCGGATTTCGGTCCCCTCTGCTGCTTCCCACAAGCAAACAGGCCCCCCTGGTGCTGGCTTCCAGGTGTGTGGGCCTGCGCACCCACCAGGACCCTGTGGGTCTCTCCAACAAACTCTCTGTGAGCCTGGGAGCTTCTCTCCAGCACCTGGACCCCGAAAGTCTTTCCAATTGGTCCTTTCAGGCTCTAATTCCCATCGCTGGAGCCCTAGCCTAAGCGGTCTCACTGCTCGCTCCTCCACTTGGTTTATCTGCACACGAATGTGTGACCACGGTCAGCCAGCTGCCCTGTGCCCTCACTGGGCCCACCCGTTGCCACCCCACACCTGGGATCTGCCAACCGTGCCTGCGCTCCTGGGTCAGTCCAGCCATTCTCTCCTGCCCGACCCCGCTCCACTGCGGACTCTGCCCCTCTTACCGGTCTGGCTGAATAGTTCATTGTTGTCAGATTTCTGTACAGTTCAACTTTCTGTTTTGGCTGCACTTTTGTTACTAAAACTTTGTTATCTTTAAACTTGGTTGTGCGAGGAGGCACAGTGTTTCCACCTATGCCTCCATCTTGGCCAGAAGTCCCTAAATGTTTTTAACTTAGCAAAAAAGTTTACCCAAGACTCACTCTCTAGACATCAGGCTGTTCAACTGGTTTTAGCATGATTCAATTTGTTTATTAACAAATTTTCTGATTGCAGGAGTTGTATGACCTAAAGGGTATGCTTATACATTTTTGTAAACTTTCGTCTGTTTCTAACAACTTACAGTTAAAGGATGAAGCCCTGGCTGGTGTTGCTCAGTGGGTTGAGTGTCAGCCTGTAAACTGAACAGTCACCAGGTGGATTCCCAGTCCAGGCACATGCCTGGGCTGCAGACCAGGTCCTTGGCTGGGGGGGTGTAAGAGGCAACCAGTTGATGTTTCTCTTGCACATCGATGCTTCTCTCCCTCTCTTTCTCCCTCCTTCCCCCTCTCTCTAAAAAATAAATAAAATCTTTTAAAAAAAAGTTGCTGTAGGTGTATAAAGAAACCAAAACACTGAAACTCATTTTAAAAGTCTCTTCCAAGTGAAAGCTAATTGATGTTAACTCAGTTTTATTTTTAAAAATCAGAAGGATTCTACCCTTAGTTGCCAAGTGCTGCTGCTCTTTGTCAGAGGTAGAAATGGAGGAAGTAGAAATGAAGGGATTTTGAAGTACTGTCTCAGGAATATCCCTGCCACCTAGATGGCCTCGTCACAGAAATGAAAAGAGGCAATTTTCTGGGTCTTTGAAAAGTCTTGTTGAAATATAGCAAGTTTTAAAATAAGGCAGACAGGTCAGATACTTCATTTTTATGCTGAAAGAAGAAAATGATGCTCCGAGCCACACAAACTCCATGGCTCTGGAGCGGTGAGGAGAGTGGAGGGGAGCATCCACCCTGAAGTTTGCTCCACGAAAAACGGATGGCTGCCATCGCCCTGGCCGAACACCCTTCCACGCGAGAACGCTGACACAGGGCTGACAGTCTTCTCACTTTTCAGGTAGTCATGCAACAATTCTCTGTTTTTAAATATTAAATTTTTATTGTAAAAATGTGTAGAAAAACAATCCTGGGTAGGCAGGGCTCAAAAAACCTATAACCCACCTGGAGGCAGGCAGTTGGTGACAGGTGGGCTAATCTTCCAAGTGCTGGTCTCATTCTAATCTCATACTACTACTTGGCGTAAGTATCTTGAAATAAAATGCTTAGCATTCTCTAGGAGATTGAACATTAGAAATATAACCACTCCTAGAAATATGCTGTGAACCTAGAAATGATGCTGGACTGCTAATGAGAAAAGTAGGAAGAAAAGAAAACTGTTGGGGCTTACACAGTTAAATACTAGACGTTCCTTCTTTTTACACCTGACCCCCGAACGCTAGAATGGGCTGCATCGCCCGATGAAGCATGGGAAACTGATCGTTGCTTATGGTTTCTGGATCTTGTTACCAGGTATTAAGCTCTTTGGAAAATACCATCATATCTCAAAAAAATTTCAAGAAAAGTGATGGAGGATAATAATTATACGGCACACTGGTAACTAGGATTAGCTATGATTGCTAAATGTAAGACATGTTTTCTGTAGAAATGATGTGCCAGTACCAGTAGTTACTCAGGGTCTGGGTAAAACTGAATGAAATGTAACTGGCCGTGGTCCAGCTCCACTTTAAAGGCTAAGTCAGTTTGACCAGTTCACTCTGAAGAAGCAGAGCGTTAGTCCCTTTCTTTTATCACTTGTCATCCAGACAAAACAAATATCTGATTTGTCTGAGCGAGATGCTGTTTAAAAATACGAAAGATCTATCCATTATTATCATGGTAAATCTCTACCCAAACTGATACGTTCAGGATTACATCAATACATACACATATATGTTTCTTAAATTCCAGCCGTTGAGACACGAGCCCATGGGGTGTGTGGCCCTCGCAGGCCAATCAACTAACTCTGGATGTTGCAGGGTGGCTGTGAGTGAGCGGGTCTCTGACCTACACTGAACAGCTGTTAGCTTTTAACACCCTTCCCATGAGGAAGTCTTTGCCTTTTGTTCAGAACGTCGAACAAGACTCACCTCTGAACTAACAGAGATATGTTAACAGGGCCCTGGGCACAAACGGACTAAGAGGAAATGGTTCGCACACAGTCTCTCAGGCCGCCTGTCATCTGGACACGAGTGAGTCGGCGTCCATGGTGTTCAGAAGGTAGAGTTCGGGCTGAGCTGCCAGTCCCAGGTGGCACTGCGGACGAGAAGGTGGAGAAGATTAGACTGATTCGTAAGCACTTAGATGTTTAAATTGGCACCTAAGTATCTATAAACTGTGTATTGCTAGAGGCCTTTGTTCAGTACTGCTGCACCGATTTTCCTTTCAGAGAAAAAATGGCTCACGGACACACAGTGCACAGCACTTAGAGTAGCCAGGAGCTGCAGGAGCTCAGGGCTGAGACGGCACTGGTGCCCTTGGCACGATTGGCACCTTGACTGTTCTCCTGGCACACACTGCCTCGGATGGGTAACCTGATCTGGACATTAAGGGCGAGTGCAAGGACTGCTTAGTTCTTTAGTGCTGTGTGTGTTGGAATCACATTTCAGATGATCCGAGTCCTGAGCCCCATCACCCTTTGGCACCTGAGCAAAGTCCTTCATTAAAAGAAAGAAAGAAAAAGTCCTGACTGGTGTGATTCAGTGGATGGGGCGTCGCCCTGCAAACCCAAAGGTTCAATTCCTGTTCAGGGCACACGCCTGGCTTACAGGCTAGGACCCTGGCTGGGGGCATGCAAGAGGCAACCAATGTTTTTCTCTCTGCCTTCCCTTCTCTCTAAAAATAAACAAATAAAATCTTAAAAAAAATAAAATGGCATGTGGGAAGAGAGGGAGATGATGACCCCTGGGTCCCGAATGTCTGTCAGTCTGTGTGAGAATCGCCTCAGCTGCTTTTCAGACACACAGCAGACCCTGCTCCTGGAAACCGGAACCCGGACAGTTGATGTTGGGGTCCGTGAGGCTGTACTGAGCTCTCTTTCTCTCCTCTGCATACACTCAGTGGGACGATCACTGAGTCTCATTTCAGCCCTACCGTCATCACCCAGGGCTTTGGACACGTCGTCGCCCCTTGGCACCAGCAATCTGGGAATGAACTCAGAGTACAGACTGAGTTCACAGGAGGAACACGCCCTTGTTACAGAGCCGTTGGAAAGGCACTGGAGCTGGGTTCAAGCTCCCTCTCAGCCACTTTGCACGACCTCCAGCAGGTCTGTGTCCTTTTGGAGCCCTACCCTACTTGTTTGTCAAGTGGAAGTAAATGCTGTCCTTGCGAACTCCAAGCACGTGCTCTCTCATGTTAGTGCTCAATAAACACAATTTCTAGCACATTACAGATTGTCTTGCACCCCTCCCAGGCTTGTGACAGCTGCGTGAAGATGAGTCCAGATGGGGCCCAACACAGAACCATTCCCAGCCGATGGGCTTGGAAATACAAGTCCCCCTGGCCTCAGCGCAGAAAGACAGCTCTTTACACTTCAGCTTGCTTATTCACTTCAGGGTTTCCTTACCCAGGGCCATTGCCAGGTATACTGACAATTCACTGCAGTCTTTTCCCACGTGAGCCAAGGTGGCGGGCTTCCTCATTATGTGGTGAGCAAGGGCTGCACAGTTAGTCCCGTGATCCCCAGAGCGTATCACTGAGGTGACTTAATAGACAGAACCCCTCCACTGGAGAAGTGCATCCCATTGCTCTGAGACATCAAGAAATGGTACCCAGCGGCACGGACAGAGGCTAAAACCCTTTCCAGGGCAGGCAGGTGATGCAAATGAGTAAACTTACTATTGGTTCTCAGCTATTTCTGAGGCAGGATCACAGAGGGCTCTGCCTATTTTCTACGACTGCCAAAAAAGCATTTTTTTTTTTAAATTTAGTGCAGGCCAAAAAAAAAAATGGCCTACCAGTTGGCAACCTGAGCTGAAACATATTCTAATACTAATCAGAATATCCAGCTAGTGCTTCTGTGCGTTCATGTTTCTGGGGCTGCTGAACACCAAAGCTTGGTACCTGCAACATGAAGTGTGAACTACATATTACGTAGAATGGCTTGCATAATGCTGACGTGGGCCCTGCAGTTAAGCTATTCAGGTCCAAATGCCAGTTGCCCATTAGCGATATAATTTGGGAGTTATTTTTGGCCTTTCAGTTGCCTCATCTGTACCAGAGTTGATCCTTCTGTTGTAAGAATTAAATGAGATCATGAGTGCTTAGACTAGGACTGGCACATGGTAATGTGTGAGCTGCTTTAAACATTCAGAAGGTGTCAAAAGAAGCTGAACCCAGCTTCTTTTGATTTTGATTTTGATATTTTGATTCACTGGTCCTATCCAATGAAGGAGCAGAAAGAGTTCCAGAGGGCGGAGCTAAAGGGAGTATTTCAAATGGGGATCTTCTAATTACTTTGCACTCTATTTTAGTTCTGGAATTAAAACCACATTAAGAAGAGATAGGCCTGGCCAGCGCGGCTCTGTAGGTTGAGTGTCATCCTGCAAAGAGAAAGGTTGCCTGTTCGATTCCCCATCAGGGCACTTGCCTGGGTTGTGGGCCAGGTCCTGGGTTGGGGACATGTAAAAGGCAACCAGTCAGTGTTTCTCTCACACCGATATTTCTCTTTCTCCCTACCTTTTCCCTTTCTCTAAATAAATAAAATCTTTAAAAAAAGGAAGAAGAGAGAATTATGGAGGTTGGACAGAGAGAACAAAGCCCCGTGACTTCTGTGGTGGCACGTGGGCACTCAGCTCTTGTACGACAGAAGCTTTGCAAAGAAAAAGGGCAAACGGAGTTCTAGTGACACTCTCGGGACAAATGAAGTGCTTGACTTAGACTTTCCCATCATGCACCTGGCGACAGGGCCTGGTCAACGTGCCTGAACTTCTCTGTTTTTACTATGTGGTACCAGTACAATTCCCATCTCAATGGTGAAATAAGACTACGGGGAGAAAAATGTTCAGTTTAGAGCAGAGAAGGCAGGGAAACACTTTTTTTCAAGTTTAAACATGGTGATGCTGTGACCATTACTAATAGCAATACCATTTGACTAAGTGGGTGCGTGGAACTAAATGGTATCTGCACGCCATCACACTTGCAAGGGCTGAAGCTACTCATCCCACTGTGCCTCCTAACAAGGGGACACGCCGGTGTGGGCTTGGCGCGCCACTCCAGCTGGCGGTTGATGTGTTGGTATTTCAAAATCGTTGGGACCCTCATTAATAAAGTATTTTTAAAGTTAAAAAATACCCAGGAAGCCAAACTGGAAAAAGAAAAATGTTTTTAATTACAAACCAAGCTTACATATTGTGCACCAGTCACTAAAGTCTAAGCTGTAACCACTCCTAAAACCACCAGCACGACTGGTGCCATCCCTGTGAACTCACGCGCTGTGGCAACACAGTTACTTCATATCACATTTCTGGAGAGCAAGGGCCAATGAGTGTGAAGTCCAACTGTGTGTCCTTTCACGTCCCACACAAAGCCACAGACAACACACACCGCACATGCGGCACTGGGAGACTCTAGAGGTCTGAACGCCACTCGCTGCGGCTGGAGTGCTGGCTACAATACCCAGCTGAGAGGGCCACGCGGAATCCGGTTCGGGAGGGTTTAACACTGTGAAATACTACGCACCCGGTATTATGAAATGCCACTGAATTGGGAAGAAATTTTCCATCACTCCAAGTCATAAATACAACTTTTAAAAGGAAATTGGCAGGTTTTACCTGGGCTGCTAAATATTTGTGACTTTGAGACTGCCTGGGCCCACCCAGACTTGGGGCGAAAGTAAATGTTTCAGTACCGTTTTTACAAAGAATGTTTGGGTCAGACTGGCCTTCACCTTGTAGCCAGACCTTGCAGCTTAAGGTGTCACTCTCCAAAATCTTCACCAGGGAAAGGGGGGGACACAAGGAGGAGCGGTTAGGGAAATTTGTCTTTCAAGACCCTGTGCTACATTACTTGAGTGGCTAACATACAGGTATGTGTGTCAGTGAAACAGTAGTTGACCCTTAATGACTTACAGAAGACAGTCTAACCACTCTGCATTTTTGACTGTGTGCAAAATATCCACAATAATGCCTTTTGGTGCTCAAACGAACAGAGAACATCAACCCACCAGGACTCCAGAAGAAAGCCCACCCCAAATGAGAAGTCATTCAACACCATTGCCATTACTGTCCTCACCGAGTCAACAGCTATACAAGACTTGATTATTTATCTCCATCAGACAAATGCGATTTGATCTGAGATAATCACATAGTCTCTGGCTCCACGTGTAAAAATGTTGCAAGCAGCTGAAGAGCAGAAGCTTCAGGCTGAAGGCACCCATTTCCTCTGACTCCAGAGCTCCACCATCTGGTCTCAGAGTTTCTCCCTCCGAGGGGAATGGCTGAGGAGAGGCAGCCCAGCGCAACCTTGCTGAGAGACCTTTGCACCCATTAGGTCCAGAGCTCCTGAGTCTGCCTTGCAAGTCGTCCTGGGCACACTTCAGGAAACGTGACGGTTCTGGCAGGAGGTGGCTCTTCTTCTCCTTTCAGGTCTTTTCTCCTTACCCCAGAGTCTCGAGAACGTCAGCTTATACATGCTACCTCTTTTTCTACCACCCTCCTGGAGGAGGAAGGTGAGGTTTTGCAACTATATATGCTTGAGACCAAGTATCAGGAAAGGGCTGTGTGCAGACATAGAAGTTACTAAAACTGGTACTGCCCAGAAAATCCTGGTAAGCGTTCAATCTCGGAGGATTTTGTGAGTGATTTTGTGATCTGTTAAGTGATTTTCGAGGTGACTGGTGGCCCCCACCTACAGGTGAGTTTTGCTATTTGTCCATTTATCACCTTTATGCTTTATTACTCCTCTTAACTTCCACTGAGAAAGGTGAAGGATTCTGAACGTTATAGAGGTAGATGTCTCATCATTTTATATTTAGTATGGATAAAACCACTTTAGTGGAGATTTAACTTCTTTATAATTAAAATAATTGAAAGGGCATGCGTAAGTATTTTCTCAGCCTTTTACAATCCATTATCTTTAATAAACAAATCTGCCTACCCACTCTGCACTTTCATTATGAAATGCATTGCATTTTCCAAATTCTTTTTTTAGTGTACAGCCTAGTTAGGAATCAGAGGTTTCATTCTCAAAGGGGTAAAATAAGCTGGCCCTTCAGCAGCTCCTGAAGAGTTTAGTGTTAGAACGACAGCAGCAAATCACCAGCTTTTCAAAGATCCCATCCAATCCAGTCCCCAGGCGAGAAGGTCAGTTAGAAAAAAAATTCCATCTTTCAAACACATGTGAAATAACGTCTTCCACAACCAACAGCTGAGTCCTAAACTTGGTCTGTGCAACAGCACATACTTTTGGCTATGTTCACACAGTAAACCATAGAAACACACTGGCTCTGATGGCTACGAGGATCAGACGGGGCCCAGCCAGTGTTTACTTAGTATAGTCACCGGTGGCTTCTTCGGTCAGGACTTTAGAAATGCTTACCGTGCGTCCGCAGTCCAGGAAGGACATGCCCAGTGCAATCAAACATTGCCAAATCTGAAAGATAAAACACAGCCGTCACCCCGGGGCCCACGGTGGCCGCGCACGCCATGCCGCTCTGGCCTGCTCCTTGGACGTCCAGCTCTGCCTAGCGTGTCACCAAGTCTCTCCCAACCCCACAACTGCTTCAGACCACCCTAGGTCCTGCCTTCCTCAACACAGCATTTCTGGACTGGTTACAACACTGCGCTCCCTCTGCTCCAACTGCTTTGAGTTTGCAGTTTGTTTATTTCATTGAACTTGGAGTTGCCTGAAGCCCACTGTTCTGTAGTCCTACCTCCTTCCTCACGAAGAGGGGAAGGGGTGACAGATTAATACAACTGAACATTCTCCTAAGCTGCTCTGCAAGTATGTTTTGGAGCTAAACAACAGTAACCGCCTCTAGAATCAACCCTCAGCTTTAAAAATGCTCTTCAACGACATGAGGACAACTCGGAACCTCCGTCACCAATTTGCACGAAGGGAGGATTCCCTTAACTTCCACGGTGAATTTTAAAAACAATTCCTGTCAAGGACATCATTCAGTTACTTGGGTTTCCCGGGAGATTATAGGGTCGGCACAATCCTAGTGTCCCCAGGGCCTCCTGGGGAGCAGAAGGGGTGTATCAGCACAGGGCAGAGCTTCACGACACCCACCGACGCAGTTTCCTCGCCACACGGCCGACCTGCAGCAGGCACTGCCACGGGACCAGTGGGTGTTGCGAGGTCAGCGGTGGGTTTCCGGCCCCCACCCCCCACCGCTCTCGTCAGCAGACGTGGTATAAATTCCGCTGTCCCTACTCCTCACCCTTGTGTTTTCCAGAGAAACCTGTCTAGAACAGGAAGGTGGACTTCCTGTTACTACAGCCACTTTTCATTCATATAAAGAATATTACAGAGGACTTGGAAAATAAAATAGAATCCGTCACCCTACCATCTTAAGACAAGGACTATTACCATTTTTATATAATTACTCAGAATTTTGAAACTTTTTTGATTACCTGGGTATACCTAAGTCTGCATTCCTTTTCTATGTGGTTGTATAACTGTCATTTTTTAAAGATAATTCTAAAATAATTCAGTGTGAGACTACCACTTTTACTTCTCTCCTCACTGGACAGCTGTTCAGTGGCAGAGTGAGAAGGGCTGAGAACCTACAGGGGCCACAGCAAGGCTCTGGGACCCGCCGCGCACCCACCACCACCCCCCCCTGCCTGCGTGGCTCCTCTTCCTTTAGTTCCTACACTCTCTTTTAGGAAAAGACAGAAGTGACAGAAATAGAAGGATGATAGCTCTTAGGAAGCAAATTTTATGGTTAAAAATACTGTTTAACCCTACATAGATACATGGTTTAGCCACAGCTGATTTAACAAGTCCCTGTAAATTACCTCAGTGACCTAGAGACGGATTGTCACGTGCTCTTTTGGGTGCTTTCTGCGTGTCGGCCCCATCTCTGCCGCCCCTGATGCCTAACGCCCCTGCCCCCTCCCAACTGGACTTACCAAGTAAAACACAAAGCTCAGATAGGCCACACTGACCACGGCCGCCACCACATACAGTAGCATGTGCCCTAGATCCTGGACGTAAATCACGACAAAGTACATGTTGATGGAACAGACGATCAGGACCAAGATCCCGCCTGCAATCCTCCAGCCTCTGTAAAAGAAGCAGCACAGTCGCTGGTGGAACAGCCTAACCTGTCCACAAAACAAAGGACACTACACCTCGTGGGGCACACAGCACAGGAGTAAGAAGCATTCCCATCCCTGGCTGGGTGTGGCTCAGTGATTGAGTGCCAGCCCGCAAACCGCTGGTTCAATTCCCAGATAAGGGCACATGCCCGGGTTGCAGGCCAGGTCCCCAGTAGGGGGTGCACAAGAGGCAACCACACATTGATGTTTTTCTCCCTCTTTCTCCCTCCTTTTCCCTCCCTAAAAAACCAACCAACCAACAAATAAATAAATAATTTTCAAAAGAAGCCTTTCCAGATAGGCATGCTCCGCTTCCTGGGAACATGCCCATGCCTTTCCCTTCCCCCTCCTCTTCCCCCTCAGGTGTGCATCTGCTAAAATCTCAGGTGTGCATCTGCTAAAATCTGAGCGACCCCATGAGACTTGCAACCACAGAGCCATGGGAAGCAGCTCCTCCTGGGCCAACCTCCTGGAACCTCTCTCCAGGGCCACCTTTTCTCTGCCTTCCCAGTGAGCTAAGGCAGCCCCACCGGGCCCTCTCCTGTTGCTTCTTCTGTGCTAAGCCCTTCCTTGTTTCACTGTCCCCAGCTTTAATAAATGTAGTTTCAAAATAAAGAATAAAAAGAACTGAAAAATGGTTCTTAACATGTCCCAGGTGTGGTTAAATGAGTCAAAATTAGACACTGATACGGACAAAGGGAAAAATGCTATCAAATAACTCCTTTTACTTAAGTCCCTAGAGACGCAACCTAAAAATAGAATAAGTAATGAGTCTCTAGAGATGCACAAAGTCATTTCAACTACCCTCATACCCTTTAAAGATGTATATAAAAGGCATAAGCTTAAACCTTTCTCTTCAGATCATTAACATGGAATTAAGATGCTTTACACTTTCACAGCCGCACTAAAGAGTTAAAGACCTAAAAGCCACTTTCTCCCCCAGCAAATAAGAACGTCCTTGTCTTCCCTTAGTACATTCACAGTCTCCATTTTCTAAGCCAGAGATTGAGGGGGCAGCACAAGCAACCACCTCTCAAACCCCCACGTGTCTCTCTCTTTACTGGCCTATTTGACAAAGTTCCCCCGCCCCTCAGAGCTTTGGGGAACTGAGAGGTGTTCACTCACATTCCGTTGGCAAAGTCACTCATCACTGGCCGCAAGCTCGTAAAGGTGAGGATGGGTATGAGAGCAAAGGGAAGCTGGAAAAAAAACAAAACAAAACTAAGATCAGATGGAGCTACTGGGGGGCCTTGTATCACCCCAGAGAGCAGCACTGTTAGTAAAAGGGAAACACAGACCTTGCCTCATCTACTCCATGAGAAAATATACTGTCATCCCAAATGTTCAAGCATTACATTGAAATCTGTACAGCTATCATTAACCTAGCGTCAATTATGATCATAAGCGTTTCTACAAACATTTGTACCTGCCTTGTCTTATCCTGCTTAGGATTTAGGAATGTCCTACATGTCATTTAATATTTGCCTGGCTTGCCCTGACTGGTGTGGCTCAGTGGACTGAGTGCCAGCCTGCATACCAAAGGGTTTCTGGTTTGATTCCCAGTCAGGGCACACGCCTGGGTTGTGAGCCAGGTCCCCAGATAGGGGTGTTTGAGAGGCAACTGATCGATATCTCTCTCACACATTGATATTTCTCTCCCTTTCTTCCCCTCTCTCTAAAAGTAAATAAATAAAATCTTTAAACAAGGTATTTGTTTGGCTTGAACAATAATTTTGTGTTCTACATATAATTATAGCTGATGATTCCCATTCCACTGGCTTTAAAAAAAACCCCAAGACATTTCAGACACCAGAGACTTCACGTATTGTACATCTACTGCAGACTGAGGCCATGCTTCTTCCTCTAAATTTTCCCGAGCACTTGGCACGAGGCACAGAGCCTAAGGGCAATACATAGTGCGGCCTGACTAAATGCGACGTGAGTTTCCCCTGCTCCCTCCTCACCTGCAAGCTCTGCAGGACGTTGAGGAAGTCATTCATCCCTGTGAGATGTTGCACATCTTGGAAAATAGCAACAAGCAGAGTGGGGATAATGGCAATGGAGCGGGTCAGAATCACTCGGGCAAAGCGTGACCATCTCAGGTTCAGGAATCCCTGGGAGAAAACACAGAGGCAGGATGAATGTCTGGAACAGGACACGAAAAGGGTTTGGAGAGGCTCAGGCAGACCTTACAGCATGGGATTCATAAGGAACAAAAGGACAATTTCCTCTGGTCTTTACCAGTCAAAACAGCACATACCTCCATGACGAACTGGCCTGAATAGGTTCCTGTCATGGTAGAGCTCTGTCCCGCAGCCAGGATCCCCACCGCCCAGATGTAGAGGGCAGCAGGCCCGAAGAAGCACCCCAGAACGACACCCTGGGAGGGCGAGGGAGAGTGTGTGTCAGCGAGCTGCTCAGACGACACCCAGCGCCGCACTTCTCCCTGCTCTGCTGTGCTCCCAGCTCCCACGTGCAGCGCCCTGTCCCAGAAGCTCAACTCGAGTCCTGCCCTCGTCGGAAAAGCTTTCACCCTGAACTTTGTTGGATGGTTCTTCACTCCTCAGCCCAGTCCTTGTTTTTTAAGGTTTTATTTATTTATTTTAGAGAGAGGGGAAGGGAAGGACAAAGAGAGGGAGAGAAGCTCAACACGTGGTTGCCTCCTGCACACACCCCACTGAGGACCTGGCCCACAACCCAGGCATGTGCCCTGACTGGAAATCGAACCAGCGACCCTTTGGTTTGCAGGCCTGCGCTCAATCCACTGAGCCACACCAGCCAGGGCAGCCTAGTCCTTTTTTTACTTCAGGCTCTTAAAGCCTTCATCTTCAACCTATAGCCTAACTATATATTTTTTTAAAAGTCTACACTACATTTCCCAAATTATATTGCTTAACACACACACTATTTTAAAAGATAACAGGAGCCCCGATCAGTGCGGCTTGGTGGGCTGGGTGTCATCCCACGCAGCCAAAGGTCGCCAGTTGATTCCCAGTCGGGGCTTGTGGATTCCCACAATCCTGGGCTGCGGGTTCATCCCAGGTCAGAGCTCAGATGAATGGCATGCAGTTGAGCTTTCTCTCCCTCTCTTTCTCCCTCCCCTCCCCTCTCTCTAAAAATAAATAAATAAACCTTTAAAAAAGAAAATACCAGGGGTGAAAAGGTCAGATAATTTTGGGAAATGCTACATATAATTGACTGTTAGAGGTTCAGAATGTAAGGGAGGCCCCAATAAAGAGAACTTTACCAGGTATGCTTTCTGTGGTCACCCCAATTACCATCCTGTAAGACACTGTACTGTCAACACAACTTTGGGAAATGCTGAAACAATTCATTTGTTCAGCTGATCCTCTATTCCTTCTATGTAGTCCAAAATGCTTGTCTAGCATCTAGAACTCTGACATAAATGACACCCCAAAGAAGACAGGCTCAACTCGGAAGTGAACCCACAGAAAAGACCAGACACTACATGAAGAATGTCAACCCAGGGCGAAGAATACCAGTCCGAACAGGCTCACCCCTTTGTAGATGTCCACGGCCAGTGTCGAGTTGTCGTTAGGGAAGAGGTCGGTGTGGGGACTGCTGCTATTTCTGCAGGCTTCAATCTGGAAAAGAAAGCCATTTTGAGCAACTTTTATTTTCGAGGCAAAGACCAGGAAAGAGGTCTCCTACATATCACTCACAAGTCATCCATGAGACTCGGCCTGCATGCAAGACACTGGATACAGGTTGTGATGGGCAAAGATGGGCAGCAGGTACCACTCGCACTCCCCCTCCATAATCTTTCTGTATCCCCATGTCATCAAAGTTATTTACCACGCTAGTGCGCACTGTTGGGTCATTTCAAATGCTGACAGAAGAGAGAGCCCTTAGTAAGGCTCTGAGTACGAGAGGACACCAGAATAGGGAGTCCTTAGTCAAAGCAGAGCCAGGAGTCTGAGGCACTATCAGTGGGAAGCAAAGTGGAGATGGAGACTAGATAGGCCCTGGCCAGGTAGCTCCACTGGTTACAGCGTCATCCTGATACACCAAGGCTGAGAGTTTGATCCCTGGTCTGGGTACATATAAGAATCAACCAATGGCCCTGGCTGGTGTAGCTCAGTGGATTGAGCTCGGGCCTGCGAACCAAAGGATCAAGGTTCAATTCCCAGTCAGGGTACATGCCTGGGTTGCAGGCCAGTTCCCAGCAGGGGCCACACGAGAGGCAACCATACATTGATATTTCTCTCCCTCTCTCCTTCCCTTCCCCTCTAAAGATAAAGAAAATCTTTTAAAAAATAAGGTAGGAAGAAAGAAAAAAAGAAAGAAGAAAGAAAGTATCAACAATTAATGCATGAATAAGTGGGACAACAAATCAATGTTCCTCTCCCTCTGTCAAATCAATTTTTAAAAAATTAAAAAAAGAAAAACAAACTAGATAGGCAATCAGGAACTAGGAAGACAGACAAGTAAAAAACAACACAGTTTGTCCCAGCAACAGTTTCTGTTTTGTTGACTCCCAACCTGCCCTCATCACCAATCAGCAGGAATGGCAAGCTAGCAGTGGGTAAACAGGAAACAAAGGGCCAAGCAGGCACGAAGCCGCAGGAGGCAATCTTCAGTCTGAGTGATCTCCCTCATCAGCCAAAAGCAGGGTCTCGGCTTGGTCGGCCCCAGACTGCTGACCCTGCCCAGTGCGGTGACGGAGGGGACAGCGCGGAGGCCCCAATCTCTCTCCCCTGCGCCCCACGTCCCAGTCGCACTTCCCAGCCCATTCCAGCCGTCACAGTACGCTCTCGTTCACGGCTACTGGGGCCCAGGCTTACTCACCACCTGCTGGTTGGTTTTCCAATAAAATGCTTCGGCAAAGACCGAGACGACAAAGACGTTGATGATGAAGGAAACAAAGAGAGCGATGCAGGACTCAATGAAGAAGTACTTATTGGCCTCTCGGACCTCCTCCTTTTTGGCTCGGTTTACCTGTCTGGACTGCAGAGATAATAGTTGTAGTCATTTCTTTTTACTTTTTGGAACAAGTTTCCTGGTAATATTTCATGAGTTTAGAGACAGTGAAAGACTCAGAGGGCAAGCACTGGACCAGATGAAACGTGAGAGAAACTGCTTACATCCTCGTTCACTGAGTCGTGACCCTGGATGGCATTACACATTCCTCAAGTGGGCAGGAGCAATTACGTGACTGCTGAGCTCTCAGGTATTGTGGCTGGAAGAACCACAAAACCTGCCCTAGAAAACGTATACCCTTAAGTGTAAAGGTCTTTGAAATCTCCAAGCAAATAACGGTGTGAGGCTGACTGGTGAAAGGTTGGTCGGGCTCTTCATTCCTGACCTCCTGGAGCCACTCAGGGTTTGAGATTAAAACACAAGAGACCTGGTGCACTTTCAGGCCTTTTATAAAGAACTTTAGTCCCAGTTTCTCCCCAGGGGGTTAGTTATCTCTGGTCATAAACCAGAGTCCAAGTGTGCGGAGTTTATAAATGTCCAACCACGGAAAGACACCTTGCTCCTCTGGGGCTCTAACGGTTGTAAATGTACTAAGTTATGTGTCCCTTACAACTAAAGGAGAACATCCCATGACCTCCCCAGGAGGGCACTGAGATCGAGGCCTTGCTCACCTTGACTAAGGCAGAATGCAGGTACATGTTGTGTGGCATGATGACAGCTCCCACGATGCCCACGGCCTGCTGCACCTGTGGGGTGCCGCAGCCCGAACAGGACGGCACGAACATGCCCTTGAGAACGTCGCTCTGGTTGGGCCTCACTGTAATATACTACACACCAACGTAACAACCGTTAGCCTTTCTGGAACCCGACACTAGGGAATAACAGTGAAAGGACACACTCGGCATCCTTTGCTGCTTTCCCTACAACCCCATGTTCTTCAACAACTTCCAACAACAACGAGGAACAAGGAACCACTGAAAACCACACAGCAGGAGGAGCTCACTGCCAAGACCAGAGAATTCAACACTGGGGCACCTGGCTATTTTATATCATCTTTCAGATACACAAAATAGATATAGAGAGAATGTAATTAATATCCTAAAGATATAAAATGGCTGCTAAGGGCCTTACCCATATTAATTTCACAGTAACTCCTATGAGACAGACCCCAAGACTAGAGTCAGTTCTTAACTATCCACACTTACACTCCTGCTCACCTACATTCATCTAAATATCACCTCTAGCACAGGCTGACTCATTCAGAAACACCTTTCCCTGGTTCAGCATTTCTCTTGAAAGCCTTAGACCAAACTGCATAAACTACCCTATAATCTAATCTGTATCTATTATAATCTATTCTATAGATTTGATACATTTGTAAAAGTCTAGCCAGGCCTATAAACAGAGTCAGTTAAACTGGACACAGAAAGGTGCTATGACCACACACAATGATGCTGATTCCCGGGAGTGTGGGTGAGGGCACGAGCAGGAAGCAGCCACTACACCCTCTAGAGTTCCAACACAGGGAAGGTTCGGGCAGCAGCTGGGACACACCAGGATGCGCAACCACAGACCCCTCCAAGTTAACAGCCAAGAACCACCCTGTAACGCCCTCTCTAACCCTCTCCAAAGCTGATCTCTTGCCGAGATGGCCAATGTTGAACCAGGGGGTTGTCTGGAAGGTCCTAGAAAGCCTGGTCATTTTCGACACAGAAGTCCCTGCAGATCTTCCTGGATTCTATGCTAGTCTTTGATATAGATAATATTCCTTCAAAACTGGCCCAAAGCTTAATTGGCTTTTTCTTTCTTTTCTTCACCCCCACGCCCCCGCTTTTACTTTTACTAACATTTTTTATTTTATGCTGATTCTACTTCCGGGCCCTAAGTTTTTATTTCTTCAGTTTCTTCCAGGATATCTTATGCTTCTATGCAACCTGCTCTTCTGGTTTTGGAACAGCCTGCTTTTTCAGCAGGACCCTCCCAGCGTGGCAGGGAGAGCTCCTGTGTGGGTGAGTCCGCTCACGGGCTCTGCAGGTTTTAGGCTGCATCTTGGGAGCTTTGTTTACCTGGATGTGCTCAGCAACCAGAGACTCTACACCTAAACACTTAAACTCTGCATTACTCTGAGGTTTTTAGCACGTGCAGCAAGAAGCCAGCACTCTTTTGGGGCCACTGACCCAAAAGAACGGCATACATCACCTCTGTAAAGTGACAGCCTTCAGACATTCGATGGCTTTTCTGATCTGCAAACCCCAATGGCCAGGGCAGCTTCACAGGTGTTCTTAAAATGAACACAAAGATCTGAACCTCTTTCTCTGCATGATTTTGCATGGTTCTGGGTCAAGTGAATGGTGACCTGTTTTCAGAGGTCACCTCAGGCCGCTAACAAGGAGAAGAAGCAATGGGCATTTTCTCAGCACATGCAGTACAATTAAACCATCCTAGCATTATTCTCTTTTTATAATAAAGGCAAAAATTTTTTTTGTTGTTTTACAAAGTTAATGAATACCCTGGAACACTTGCCTCATATCCAAATGTGAAGGCCATCACAGTAATGAGAAAGCCAAAAAATGCTTCCAGCTTCCGCAAGCCTGAAGGAGAAATGCAGCAGTGAGTCTGCAGGACACAGGCTTCCCCGTCAGCCACAGGGCAGGGAAGGAGCTTCTTGGCTTAACCCCTCCATTCCCGCTCTACTTACCGTATTTGTCCAAAAAGAGAAATACAAAGGTATCTGCAATGGTGATGAGTACTCCACCCCACAGGGGAACCCTGGGTTGGAGATAAAAAATGGACATTAGAGGAAAGAAAGGAAACACCGAGAAGTACTTTCTTCCCCACAGCCCTCCATACAAGCAACACGGGGAGGAGCAAGGACCTGTGGGAAAGGAGACAGTGCGGGAGGCCAGGCCTTGGCGAGTTTAGGCTCGCAGCAGCGACTGGGTAATATTCAAACCTGGCTGTCTACTACATCAGACATTTAGGGTGCAAAGCTGAAAAGAATGGGTCTTACCCCTCAAGGAGCTCACTGTCTAGTGGGGTAACCTGACGTGAAATTAAATAACTGTAACACACAAATAAAACACACACCGCACAGCAGAATCACATACAATCCACCACAAGAACGTGGGGACGCAGAGCCTGCGTCTGCCAGGAGAGGGAAGGCGGTCCCAGACTGGGTCCACCAGAAATATCATGAACTTGAATCTTGAAAACTGAAAACGAGTTGGGTTTTTGTTCTTACATTTGCTTTAAAATCTAACAAAACACTGATTACTTTGTACAGGGAAGCCCCCTCACCTTCCTACAGACAGGAGATTGATGGCAATGGCCGAGCCAATGACTTCTTGCATGTCCGAGCCAATGATAGCCAGCTCCACCATCAGCCACAGGATGATTCGTGGGACCTGCACATCAAGCAGAAGAACGTGGTTCTGATGGATCATTTCTAAGAACCTCCCCCATGTTTGGAAGTCACATTTTGGAATGGACCCATATAAAGCCCTCTCTAAGCCTTCGGTCCACAGATTAAGTGCCAGCTGGGCTCCACCTGCCCTGGCCCTGCGGGCCCTGGCCAGACAGGCAAGGCTGTTTTCACGTGGCCGTGCTTATGCGTCAAGGGCTGGGTGGCCACTGACCCTGGTTTCTTCTCTTTTCTTTCCATTCAAGAGAGGAAAAGAATTTCCATTCATGAATTTCTACTTAAGTCCCCCCCTAAACACAATCCTGAAAGTCTGAAGGGGAAATCACCCTGGCTGGTGTGGCTCAGTGGATGGAGCGCCACCTGTGAACCGAAAGGGCACCGTGCCTGGGTTGCGGGCCAGGCCCCCACTCAGGGGCGTGCGAGAAGCAACCACTGGATGTACCTCTCACCCACTGCTGTTTCTCTCCCTCTCTTTCTGCCTCCCTTCCCCTCTCTCTAAAAGTAAGTAAATAATGAAACCTTAATTTTAGAAAAAAGGATGCTAATATGGTCAAACTATTGTTCAGGAGAGAATAGAGAATGACTACAGAAGAAAATATCCATCCTGACTTCAGCTGAAGAGACAAAACAAATGGGAAAAGACCAGGGCTATTCTTTTTTTTTTCTTGATTGATTTTTAGAGAGAGGAAGGCAGAAGGGATGGTGGTGGAGGGGAGACTTCTTGTTCCACTTATTTATGCATTTATTGGTTGACTCTCATATGTGCCCTGACCTGAGACTGAACTCACAACCTAGGTATATCGATGCTCTAACCAACTGAGCTACCTGGCCAGGGTTACAGTCCGACCTCATGTAACAGGAAAACAAGTGAAAAAGGGCAGATATGCAAAGGGACTCAGGGCAAAGTGGTTGGAATTGGTGCTGTATAGCAAGATAGTAAACTAATCTGGTCAAACAACACAGCTGACAGACAAATTTAGTTCATGCTGGCTCATGGAGGCCAGAACAGGAACATCGCCAGGTATCTACCACCCAAAAATTTGTCACAAAAAACAACAGCTTAAGATAAAGAAAGAGAAACTAAAAGGAATTATAAGTTACCAAGGTTCTCTTCCGAGAAGCATATAAGAAACAAAAAAATAAGGATACTTTCTTATAGCCAGGAAAGGAGATTAAACATTTAGGCAAAACCAGAGCAGCTCGGCCGGACGTCACCCAAAGGCGAAGCTCTGCTGGAGCTGCCTTCCAGACGCGGGCTCCTTGCCTGCCCGAGCGGCAGGGCGAAGGGCACCGAGTGTCCAGGAGGCGGCTGCACAGGACGGTGTGACATCGGGGTCAGGGTAAATCGAAAAGTAATTACTAATAAATCCAAAGATCCAGCCACAAATAGTTTGCTATAAGGAAGAAACTTTTTTCAAACTGATGGTGAAGCCAAACTAAAAGAAAATACACATAATGCAAAGTGACAGACTGAGCAAACGTGCCCAGCAGGCAGCCCACCCACCTCCCCCCCCACTGGGCAAAAAGATGCCAGACGGCAGAGTGAATGGTTATGTTCATTCAACAGAACTTATCTAAGGAAATTTTCTGGAAAAAAGTGAATCTCAAGTTAGATTTTTAAGGAGTGTAGAAATGTGGCTAGGCAGCAAGAAGGGGCTAGAGAACATCCCTTGGGACCCCCAGTCTTTGGGGCCTCGGACCCCCAGGCCCTCACCGATTCAGTGCACAGCAGTGGGGCCAGCGCACACTGCCAGGCACACAGGTTCCCGTCACGTGAGTGACAGACAAGCAGGACAGTACACTGCTTACCTTGGGATACTGACGGTGACACACTTCGGCAAGGTGCATCCCAGTGACCACTCCCAGCCTCGCTGCCAGGCGCTGCAGCAGGAGCCCCACGATGGTGGCCAGCAGAAGAACCCAGAGCAACTAGAGAAGAACAAACCCCGGCACAGCACTCATTAGACAGCCGAGGGGCTGCCTGGGTGTTTGGCGATGTGAATGGGAAACACTGCATTCAGGGAAGAGCCCAGGTCAGGACCAAATGACCTGAGTTCTGTGTCAGGGGCTGCACACAGCCTGGTACGTCTCCTTGTACCTCTCCGAGCCTTGGTTTCTCCCATCTGCAGTTTCTCTTTTATTCAAGGAAATTATGTGGGTGAAATAAAATAAAAAAAAACAAGTGGGAAAGTGCTTTTCACCTAAGTGTCCCTGACAATGAAGTCTCTGCACGTAGGTCTAGAGGTTGATATCCGCAGGCAGAGAAGAGGAAAGTGTGCCGTGTGTGTTTCAAAGGGACACAGGTAGGACCAGGGGTTTACCTTAAACCCAGCCACTGCTCCGGACTGCAGGTCAGATTCGATGTTTCCTGGATCCAGGTAGGCAATGCTCATAAGAAAGCCTGGTCCCGTGAAAGCCCAGAGTTTACGAAAGCTAAAGCACGAGTACTACGGGAGAGGGAGAGGGAGAGCTGATGATCACTTCCCACTAATTGTCTTATCACATAGAAACCCAAAAACATCAGCCTCACAAGAACAAAGGATTTAGGGTGTTGGAAGGTGGGTATGCCCGAGTTTCACTTCATCTCACCCACTTCTTGTCAGTGAGCTGGCCCCTTCCCTGCCCTGCTCTTTTCTACCAGCCTGACACACAACACCAGTACCTCAGGGCCCAACCACGACCCAAGTGGGACAAAAGCCATCATAAAAAAGGAACATAAAAGTCAAACTTCCTTGATCCAAGAGTGCTAAGACAACTTGGCAACTGCTTTCAAGGCCCTCATTTTCCTTAACAGTTTCTAGTTATTCTCGTGACAAATATTCAAATACTCAGTCTTCAGAGCCGGCTTGCCAAAATTGATGGCAATGGCCGCTGATCTTGGGCTGTGCGGCAGACCTTCCACTCACGGATTCCCTACACAGTGACTTTTTCCTCCGAGGACCGGCCCCTAACCTCCTCCTCAGGAACGGCAATCTTCTCATCAAAATAGGTGGTGAAGGGCTCGTCGGAGCTCCCGGTGGACTGCGGGAGGGAGGAGTCGCTGTAGGCAGGGTTGATGGCACCGAGGTGGGCCGAGTCCCCATGGTCCTCAGCAGCATCATCTAATGAACAGATGGGAAAAGAATTTCTTTTTTAAATGAACAAAATACACTAACTTTATTTTCAGTAAAACTAAAATGAAATCTTTCTAATACCCTAAAGGAACAAGGCCGACCCGACTGTACCTCAACTTATTCCTAATACTTCAGTTTTATTTATATTTTAATAAACTAATTTTTCACTAAGCTATACATTCGCATGATTGAAAGTCTGAGAAATACAGAAGAGCTTATGGTAAAAAAAGCTCCTCTCACTCCCTCTCATCACCCCCCCACCCCGTCAGTGTTACCACCAATCTCAGTGGTTTGCCTGCTTTCATACTCCTATTCCCACTTGGCAATTTTAGAGCCATTTCATCCTCCTCTAAAAAAAACTAATGTCTAGGGCTCAAAATATAACATCTCCAGACTAGCCTCACTGCTAGCCTAAAATCCCAACTTTTAAAAGAAAGAAACCAGGTCAGTCTAGTGACTGCCCCTCCCAATACTTGGTAGGACTCATGCAAAGAAACATCCCTGGACATTACACTCCCTTTAGGCTCCTCAAAAAATGTGGAAGTTGCAAAACCCTGCCACACTTCAGGCTAAAATCTGAAGCTGCAGGGAAAACCACGGAGCAGGAACTCCTCTGCCGCCTGACTAAGGCCTGCAGTGCGGAGCTTTGGGTCACAGGGTGACCCTCGTGATAGGAGGACTCATCTGAGACTGATACATCAGTGTTTCCCTGAGCCTGGCATTTTGTGGTTAATACTAAATGCAGGGAAGGGAAGGGGGAAGGGACTGGAAGAAAAGGGCTAATCTGCCAGGAAGATACAATATCAGGTTTGCTGTAGCCATCAAATGGCTATTTCAAGCCACAAAGCTCTCATCTCAGTTTTTCCAAGAAATCCTTACAACCTCCAATTACAAAAAAAAAGCAGGAGCTAAGCCTCTTCATCTTAAGTGGCCCTGAACTGATTTTTTAAAATTATAAAAAAGGAGTGGAAATCCTAAAGGGGAAGTTGAGATTAGGAAGGATGGGTCAAAGCAGCCGAGGAGCTTTAACTGAAAACACAGTACAAGGGGCGCTTGGAACTGTGCTGCTCCACGCGATTCTGAAACGCCATCAGCAACCACAGCAGGTTTTCTAGAGGCTTTTGTGACAGGTCTGTGAACAGCACTGCCTTTGCAAGCATTGCTGCTACAGAAACCAAACTTGCACCTAATCCTGGCCCATCTCGGAACTGGAAACAAAATGAAGCAGGCTTCTGTGGTTACAAAGCCATTTTTATTTACAGCCTAAGGCACCAGATGGTGACTTCTGTACGGAGCAGGTCTCCATAAAGCTTCCGCTGGCTGGGGAAGAGGAAATGGGGACAATTTTTGTTGGACTAGACAATGAGAAGGGAAATATGGTAAATTTCTGTTACTGACTTCAGCCTAATCCCAAATAAAAATTAGAGAATAATACAAAAACTATAAATTACCATCTGGTATCTTCTGTCCAGGACCCAGCACCATGGTGTTCTTAGAATAGGATTCTGGAAAGTCGAAAGGGGAGGGAGAGGAATTAACAAGAACAAGCTAACAAGTTCAAAAACAGCATTTTGTACTCTGTACAACCTTACCCCTATTATATGAAAGGAATTATTCTTCTACTGAGTTAGATAACCTTGAAAATGACTACAGTTTTCCTAGTGTAAAGGATATTTAATAAAAAATGTAAGTCTTAATCATGTTTTTGCTGGCAAGACTTCAAAACCAAACTGAAGCAAACAGGATTTCAGGAAAGCAAGCAAATGCCTCTTCCTTTAGAACCAGGCGTCTGTGAATGATTTCACACCAGGTTCCCCACCACCAAGCACAGCACAGCCCCCTTTCTGGCCATGCCCAATTTCCCAGAACTAGGACTCTGCACCAAACCGGTCCCGATGTGCAAGGCAGATGCTTTTTAAAAAATATATTTTATTTACTTATTTTTTTTAGAGAGAGAGGGGAAGAGGGGGAGAGAAACATCAATGTGCAAGAGATACATCTCAGTTGCTTCTTGCACACCCCCTACTGGGGACCTGGCCTGCAACCCAGGTGTGTGCCATGACCAGGAATCAAAGTGCAACCTTTCGGTTTGCAAGCCCCGGCTCACCCCACTGAGCCGCACCAGCCAGGGCAAGGCAAATGCTTTTTAATAAGCTCCCACACAGAGGCTGCTAGTCTCTGCTGGGCCTGCAGATTAACTCAAATTTAACACCAGGTTGATTTCTCCCCATTTTTATGAGTCTTTTTGTTTTTATTTCTTTATTGATTTTAGAGAGAAAGAGGAATGGAAGGGGGAAGTGTGTGGGAGGAGAGGGAGAGAGACAGACAGACAGGCATGGATTTGTTGTTGCACCCATTCATGCACTCGCTGGTGGATTCCTGCATGTGCCCTGAGCCGGGATTCAACCCCGTAGCGTATCCCTGGTGTATGTATGAGAGGACTCTATTCAACTGAGCTCCCTGACCAGGGCTAGGAGTTTTTAAGGGCAAAGATCTAGAACTCTCTTTGACCTAACAATTTAAGCTTGAGAAATAGAGTGAAGATATAAAAAGGAGTCAGAGGATCAAAGGGTCAAGCTGCTAAATTATTAACTCCAAGTAGGCTGAGACATCAAAAAAAAAATTATTCCTGTTTTAACTGACTCCGGGAACTCAACCTTTTAGAGTTTCCAGCCCTACCTAAACACAGTGTGCACTGTACCTTTCATGCCTCCAGCTAGCCACCTGAATGACCTCGAACAGAAAACGCCCCACCATCTAAACCACTGGACACCTGAAGATGACCATCTTGAACCAAGGTGGGGGCTAAGAATGCAGAACTGATTCTTCTCAAGAATGTGCTTTTTACTATAAAACTCTCAAGACTTTTCCTTCTGCTTGGGAGCACTCTTGGTACTGCGTGGTAGTGGGGAGGCTTTGACTAGAAATGAATGACAAAGATTTGTGCAAGGGTCTCAGGCTTTGATTTCTGGAAAGGGGGGGCGAGCACCTCAACAGCATACTGGTAGTAGAGGGCCGCAGCTCCCCAGCCTCACATTCCCCAAGGCAACGACTCCAGGCATGATGTTTCGGGTCTCATCCCCAGCCCTTCCACAACTGGGAGAGGAAACCAAGCATAGCCCTCCCCTCCAGGGCGTGAAGGGAGAGCTAGGCACGGTCTGCAAGGTGCCAGCGCTTCTCTTAGCCCTGCAGTATGCAACCTGTGGGGATGAGGCGGGTCTGGAAGGTCCCTCTTTCTGTTGGAATAAATTCGGCTGTGGGAGGAGGGGTTTAACAAGCCCATTTGGCCACAGATCTATAGTATATTCTCCAGTCAACCCCACCAACAAGGCTTATTTAAAATTTGATCTACTGATTAAGGAATCTACCTCTCAGTCAATTCCCAGTTCAGATGGGGAAAGATGAGGTAATATTTCTTGTTAATGCCCCCACTTAAATCCCAATAATTACTATCCTACTGAGAAAGGTATAAAGCCTTAGCTATCTTTTACTGCTTAAATGGCCTTTTTCCACTCTTGTCCCTTTGTTCTTTCTAACTGAACAGTCCTCCGCTTCGTTTTGGGAAATCTATCCGAATATTCTGTACTATACTGATTACAGAATTACAGAATTCGGACTTAAAGGGAGTTTGAGGTTTCATCTATTTTCTGAGATGTAAAACATATGACCACTTGCTAACCTGGAAAACACTTTTTATCTCTGCACTAACCAATACCCAGTATTCTGTTACGATGTACAACCAGCCACACCCCACCTACCCGGCTCTGGGCCCCCAGACGACTGAACAGCAGCCAACAGACCCCAGTGACTCTGACTCGCTGATCGACTCACCCTTTCTGATCAGCTACAACAGCTCCTACCCAACTGGGATTTTTACGCATCTGCTGACTCAGCTGCAGTAGCTGCTCAGCTTCCAATTGCAGTACAGCCCCTTGGCCTGACTCAGAGCCTCTGAACTTTTATTTTACACATAATTCTAAGAAGCCAGGTACTCAGGTTATGCGACTGACAATAAATTAGGAACAACAAATCAGACCTAGGACTAAGGGTCCTCGAGGAAAAGGTCTCGGGCCGATTGGTATGAGGCAAAGAGGCATTCCTTACACATGATTATTAAAAGAATAACCTGAGTTATTATTAAGAATAATTCAAGTTTCTTAACTGTGGCCTACTCACCAAGAACTGATTAAATTAAACTACTTTGTAGTGATGATATCCTATTTAAGAAGACACAGAAGTGCCTTTTGCATCTGAGGGAGATTCCAACCAAAACAGGCTACTGAACAGACTTAACAAGCAAACAAATGCCATAGTAGTGTGTCTTCCCCAAGCCCGTAGTCAGTAAGAGTGACAGTTAAACACTGGGTGGGCCAAAAGGTCCATTTAGCTTTGTCCACGCCATGGCTCTAGTGATGCTTCGTTGTCTTGAACTTCATTCTAAACAATTTTGTTAGATTGTATTTTGACACCCATTATATCGGTGTGCAGTTAAAAAAAAATTTGTCAAAATTGGTGATTTTTTTGTGCAGCCATTTTAATATTGAGGATGGAAGAAAATACAGTTTCGGCATATTACACTATTATTTCAAGAAAGGTAAAAATGCAACTGAAAGGCAAAAAAAAGATTTGTGCAGTGTACAGAGAAGGTGCTGTGACTGACTGAATGTGTCAGAAGTGGTTTGCAAAGTTTCTTGTTACTACTGACATTTTGGCCAAATAACTCTTTGCTGTGGGGCTGTCGTATGCATTGGGAGATATTTAGCAGCACCCTGGTCTCTACCTACTAGAAGCCAATAGTGGGAGAGAGCCAACGTACTCAAAATATCCAAATCAATAAAGTTATTGGTGAAAATGAAAAATATGTCTTTTATAGAAAAAAAAAAACAGACTCTTTGGCCAACCCAATAATAACTTTAGAGAGAAATATTTCTTTTAATTTTTTTATTGATCTTTTTAGAGAGAGAGGAAGGGGGAAGAGAGTGAGAGAGACAGACAGACAGACAGACATTGATTTGCTGTCCCACTTATTTATGCATTCATTATATGTGCCCCTGACTGGGGATCAAATCTGCAACTTGGGTGTCTGGGGACAACGCTCTCGGCAAATGAGCCACCTGGCCAGGGCCAGAAATATTTCATGATAAAAATTTTATTAATTAGCCCTGCCTGGGGTGGCTTCATTGGATGGGCATCATCACACAAACCAAAAGGTCGCTGGTTCAATCCCCAGTCCCTGGGGCACATGCCTGGGTTTCGGGCCCAGTCCCTGTCATGGGGTGTGTGGGGGCAACAGACCAATGTTTCTCTCTCACATCAATGTTTCGCTCCCTCTCTTTCTCCCTCCCTCCCCCCAGTCTCTAGAATCAATTTTCAAAAATATTCATTTATTATTGTTAGTGTTCTGATTATTCCTATACTCATTACATATAGAGCCAATAATACAAAGTCTGTTCTCTCTGAAACCTCAGGAATGTATTATTCCAAGACAAAAAAATGGATTCTAGGTTCCAACTTTCTCATCAAAACTCTTCATCAACAAACAAGCTCCGCTGCCTGCTGTGTACACAGAACATACCTGGGGCAGCGAGCATCCAGCGTCGGTTATGCCTGCTGTGCTTACTGCACAGTATTTAAGTCTCCGTGAAAATGTAAGACACAAATGGAAGCAGTAAGTTAGACATTTTTAAGAGAAAGTTTATTTAGAAAGTTGCAGAGGTAGTAGAGGTGAGCCCACTGGGCTGCACAGGCTCAGGAAATAAGTTAGAGGCAGAAGAAGGGCCCTTGGAGCTTAGGAGAGAGAGAGGGGAGAAGGTAATGCTCCTGGGGGAAGGAGGGGAGGGGTGCGGCGTGCTCCCGAGGCAGAGAGCACCTCGGTTAATATTAACACAGTTTTGCTCTCTGCGGCCGGACGCCAGGCCATTAAGGAAAAAGTGAAGCTGAGATATAAGCAACCAGAACCAACTCAGCAGTGCCTTGACGAGATCGTGACTAACCCTGCTTTGACGTTCCAGGTCACCCCCAACCCTAGAGTACCGCCTTCTCTCTCACAGCCAGTAAGTCTCATACCACCAACAGCAATCAACAGAGAAAACGGCACTCGTGGTTACACGTGAAATAACTATTTTATCCCATTCCTTATCACAAGTTGTAAGAGTGTTTTACAGTAAAACATCTAATAAAATTGCATTTTCTATCTAAAATGTCAAAAAGCTACATGTCCTTTGACTCAGCAGTTCCGCTTCTAAGACTGCATCCTAAGGAAACACTCACATGAGGAAGTACGTGCAAGGATGTGTCTGTAGCACGGAAAGACCGGAGCACCAAAGACAACCCAGAAACCAGGAGGGGGCTGCTAAACTGTGGGTATTCATAGGCTGGAATGCCATGCAGCTATTATAAATAAGGCAGACCTACAGATATTAATAAGACATAGTATCCAAGATATGTTGTCAAGTAAAAAACCCAATTTATAAAACAGTATGCTAACATTTATGTAGAAAAAAACAAAAATATACACAAGTACGCATTATCTCCGAAGGACGATGAATTAGTAGAGAGCACAAATGAGGTCAGTAAAATGAAGACCTCTCACTGAATATACCCCACAAACCATGTTGTTCTTTAAAAAATTGTTTTTACTATGTGCATTTTTTTAATATAAAGAGACGATATGGATTGCCTTCTTTTTTATCCAATTACTCTCAATATTATTTTGTACTGATTTCAAGTGTACAGCATAGTGGTTAGACAATCATATACTTCACAAAGTGGCCCGGTACTTCCAATATCCACCTGGCACTGTACACAGGTATTGCAATAATATTGGAAAATTATTGACCATATTCCCTACGCTGTACTTTATATCCTTGACTGTTTTGTAACTACCGATTTTTATTTCTTTACTCTCTCACCTCTCCCACCCAGCCCCAGCCCCCCTCCCCTCTGACAGCTGTCTCTGTTCTCAGTGTCTGTGAGTTTGCTTCAGTTTTGTTGATTTTGTTCTTTAGATTCCACATATAAGTGAAATCATATGGTATTTGTCTTTCTCTGACTTATTTCACTGAGCAAAACACCCTCTAGGTCCACCCATGCTGCCGCAAATGGTTGGATTTGCCTCTTTTAAGTTTTTTTACAGGTAGAAGTAACAAATTATTATTACTTTTGTAAAAGATTTTATTTATTTATCTTTAGAGGGGAAGGGAAGGAGAGAACTATCAATGTATGGTTGCCTCTCGTGGGTCCCCTGCTGGGAACTGGCCTGCAACCCAGGCATGTGTCCCGACTGGGAGTCGAACCGTGATCATGTGGTTCACAGGCCCGCACTCAATCCACTGAGCTACACCAGCCAGGACACAAATTATTTTTAATTAGCAAAAAACATGTATAAAACACTTTGAACTTGTATAAATGAATGAGTAACAGAAAACCATAAAACCATAATTTCAAGAGTTTCTCTAATAATGTAGTCCTAAGAGAAACACGTTGTAAGGAAAAAATTAATAAACTAAAGAATTCTAGGAAAACAAAGACTAAACATTTAAAAACTGAGAGTTCTGACCTGGCTGGTGTGGCTCAGTGGATTGAGTGCCGGCCTGCAAACCAAAGGGTTGTGGGTTCAATTCCCAGTCAGGGAATGGGGGTTGCGGGCTAGGCCCCCAGTGAGAGGCGTGTGAGAGGCGACCACACACTGTTACTTCGCTCTCTTCTCTGTCTCCCTCCCTTCCCCTCGGTGTAAAAATAAATAAATAAAATCTTTTTAAAAAAACTGAGAGCCCCCCAGCACCCTGATTGCACACGCCTTCCCTGAGACGTGAAGAGTTCAGTACACACCCTCACCTCAGCAGCGAGATTCAAACGGCCCAGCCCGACCCCCACTCTCTCCAGTCTGAGACTTGAATGGAATAATCGTCTGTTTGCTCCCAAGGAGGGTAAAGAGGAAAACTGTGGCTTTAGAATCATACTTGCTAAGTTAAGTGACTTCAAATACCTCACTTAACTTCTCTGGGTCCTGAATTCCCCCTTTCTTCAAATTCCTACCTTATTTTCATTCTCGTGTGTCATGATCTCCGGGGGCAGGTCTGCACTGCCAGTGCTGAATCTGGGTCCACTCAAGTACTTGGTCCCGATGCTCTCACCCACCCACTGCTCTCTGGGCTCACTTGTGAACAAAACCATCCACTGCTCTCTGGATTCGCTTTTTAACAAACACCAGGGACTCTCGCTGATGAAGCTTCTGTATTGGACAATCGGAGACCTGCAGCCTTCCCCTGGCAAGCATATACTGCCCTAAGCTTAACTTACTACCACTCTGCCTTAGTGCCCAAATAGCCATCCTGTCAAGTTATGATTTGGGAGTTTCATCTGAATGCAAAGAACTAGAAGCTAAACCCTCAGGAAAGCATTTCCTGACTCACTCTTAATTTGGGCTAAATGGACTTCCTCCATGTTCTCCCAAGGCTCCAGTGGCTTACCACTCTGACACTGTAATCTCCAAATCATTTATTCCCCGATACTATTGACAGCAAGGCACTTGAAACTATTTCACTGGTTTTAGAGCTGTATTCAATGTTGCAAAGGTGTCCCTAAAATAGTAAGGTTTACAGAGGAATGTCTTTACAGTTCTCTAGTTCTTTCCTTCTTTTTTCCTCCCTTTCTCTATGTAAACAGTCAAAGATGGTGTTACATAGGACAGTGATTTTCAACTGCTGTGCCACAGGAATTTTAAAAACATCCAATATCTGAGTATTTAGTCAGGGGCACTGGCCTCTTTTACCTTAGATTGTCAAAGAAAATAATGACAACAGCCAACACAATAGCCATTTGGTGTGAATGAACCAAAATTATACCTATTCTTTTTGTCAGATTGGCAAACAGTGTATTTTTTGGTGTGCCACAGTATTTTAGGAATTAGTTTATGTGGCCATGAGAGGAACAAGGTTGAAAATTGCTGATGTAGGAAAAGAACTTTGCAGAAGCGAACAGAAAGGTGTCTGCACGCAGACACAGAAAGGTGATTAAATAAATGTCAACAGGAATGTTTGAAGTTCACTCTCTCTTGACGCCTCCCTCAGACAATGCTCAGGGCCAGCCACCTGGCAAGGTAGAAACTGCCAGAAGCGCAGATCGAGGTGTCCAAAAGTGACACCGAGTGCTTTAGAGAGTTACAAGGAGTTACATTTTAACATTCACACTGTGTCCTCAAGAAAATGTAAAGATTTTCAGATACTTCTAAAATTCCCCTCTTCATAAAGGTCTACTTTACGGTGATGGCACTTGCCATCCTAGAAAACCAGGACCGTCAATCTAACACCTGTGCTGCACGAGGTGCTCTTCAGGAAGGCAGGCTTCCACCCCTCGGTGACTGGGAGTCGACAAAACTGAAATAACAGTGGTTCACACAGAGCTCGCTGGGCTCTGAACCCTCTGTGTTTTAATAAGGAAGATTACTAGCCACTTTTTAAAAGATGACAGATTGGCCCTCGCCGCATGGTTCAGCTGGTTGGGGCGTGATCCCATACACCAAAAAAGGGTGCAGGTTCAATCCCTGGTCAGGGCATGCTCAGGAGGCAACTAATCAGTTTTCTCTCTTTCTCTCTCAAATAAATATATCCTCAGGTGAAGATTTTTTAAAAAGATTATTCCTGTTTTTCCATTCCAGGTCAATAAAAATGCACCATTTTCTGAGTCTCTTCCATCTAGGACAACCATCTACCTAATTAGCTCCCACAAAAATACGCCCCCATGAGGGGGTGAGAGGAAACAGTGGAGAAAAGCCATGTGAATTTCTAAATTATTCTTGAGATGTGGAGTTTGGAATTTCTTTTTTTTTTTTTATACTTCAGAATTGTCCTATTGTTATTGATAGAAAACTCACAGTAATTTTTTTTGCAATAATTGAAACTAACAGTGTTATAATTCTACAAACGGGTTAAATCAGAGACATCTGTATTTTGGAATCCCAGTATTAACTGCCTACAAATAAATACTAGCCCACATCTATTATCAGTGACCCAGATGTTTCTTTCTAATGAATTGACCATTACATTTTCTAAGCTCTGAAATGGCCAACAGACCATAGAAAGACATTGCTTTAGGCTCCTGCTTGAAACCAGCAGCTTCAGCCAACTGCTGGCCTTGATTCAGGGCCAATGGAATTCCTTTTTAATTTGGATAAGTATATCCTATTTTTCTCTTATGAAAATCAATATAAAATTTTAAGACAGGTTGAAGACTGATTACATCTACTCCCTGACGGAAAGAACAAGCAAAAAGCCCCTCTGGTGTCAGCATAAGAAAAAGGCCTAGAGACCCTCTTCCTCCGCCCAGTGAGTCACAGCAGAACGCCTTCAGCAGAAAGCCAAACAAGCACACGCCCCGTTCACCACGTACAAACAGTGCTGCTATTGTACAATGTGCTCAATACCCATCTGGGCATTGGAATGCAGTCAGTCTCTCTCTCTCAGGCACAACGGCCCTTGAAACACCCGCTGAGACTGTTCTTCCTATTACTGACTGTGTGTGCCATCGGGATAATCTTGCTTAGTCCACCAGAGACCCACAATTCCAACCCAACATCCAGTTTGCTGTTTCTCACCCACATGGGACTTCTAAGACTCTGGTTTATAGTTGAAAGAAATACCTAACACTGAGAACATCTAATGAGGAATAAAGAAAAGAGAAAATTAGTTAGCAAAAGGAAAGAGGGAGCAAGACATGGGGGGAAAGAGTGCCGTTGATAATAAAACCAGCTGCTTGGGTGTGAACAACGATAACAGTTGGGAGAAATGTGGGCAGGCTGTCCAGAAGTACAGATCTTTCACCCCAAAATACCACACACTCATCAACCAGACTTGAGACTCAGAGGGCCAGGTATCTCCTAAGTAGAACTCTTCACTTTCTCTGCTCAGTGCTGGGGCTTAACCAGCTTCCAAGCCTTTACTGCTCATTAAAGTCTTACTCCTAGAGACTACAGTTTGGTCTTTGTTCCTCCCAAATCGCCCAGCGTGAGCGCCCTGACTCCCTCCTGACCAGAAATTCACAGCAGTGCCTCGCCCTGCCCTTCGGCAGGCCGGCTTGGCCCCCCCCGCCTGACACGCCTGTCCTGGAGCACAGCTCCTACTCTGCGAACAATTCCAGAGACCCCTTTAGAGAGAAATAAAAAAGTCCATCCATCAGTCTGTAACTATTTCTGGCCTCAGAAAAAAAATGTTTTGCCCTCATACCTGGTTAAGGTATAAGGTATTTTTGCTCTGGTAAAGATGAAAAATGATTATCAGTAGATTATATATATTCAACTTATTTATTCTAATGACAGTATTGGCCCCCCAATGTAGACTAGCCTTAACAATTTTAAGTACATATTTACCTCAACGTTTCTTTTCTTAAAGCAAACAAATTACACATAAAGACAGGCAATACATACTGCAAGATTCTTCAACCTCATTTGTGCCTCCTTCCGCTCATTTTAACTTGTTGCCTTCTCCTTTCATTACCATGGAAGTTTAACAGACACTTGATTATTAGCAGTAAGTGGGACCAAAACAAACAAAAATAACCCATACAAGATGATCTACTAGCCAACAGTCACAAACACTGAAACTCTAACTTCCCAATTTAAATCTTCACTGGAAACTGGTTCTTACACTAAAATATGTAAGTTACTCTAACCATAAATTAAAAGTGCAAGACCAACCCTGGCTGGAGTGGCTCAGAGGACTGAGTGCCAGCCTGTGAACCAAAGGTTCGCTGGTTTGTTTCCCAGTCAGGGCACGTGCCTGGGTTGTGAACCGGGTCCCCAGTAGGGGGTGTGCAAGAGACAACCGCACATTGATATTTCTATCTCTCTTTCTCCTTCCCTTCCCCTCTCTCTAAAAATAAAATCTTTTTAAACAAATAAAGTGAAAATGGAAGGGCAATTAGCCAATAAATTCGCTTTTACCATTCCTGGCCAAGTCTTTTATAGTCTATTCTGATTTTATTAAAATATAGCTTATAATAAATATATGTTGTTTTAGTTTATTAATGATATTCCTGATGGTACCTGTAGAGCTCTTCTTTCGGTCTCCAGGGGTCAAAAAAATTTAACTGTTCGCCCTGGCTGGTGTGGCTCAGTGGACTGAGTGCCGGCCTGCAAACTTAACAGGTTGCTGATTGATTCCCAGTCAGGGCACCTGCTTGGCTTGTGGGCCAGGTCTCCAGTTGGAGGCACGCAAGAGACAACCAACTGATGTATCTCTTGCACATTGATATTTTTCTCTGCCTTTCTCCCTCCCTTCCCTTCTCTCTAAAAGTAAATGAATAAAATATTTTTTTTAAAAAGTTACTCGTTCAATATATTTATGTTAAATTATCAAAAGAACAAATAGCATTCATTGAGTGAGACAAGGGTCTAGGTATTCTAACTCCTGATATTATACATTCAACAGCTGCCAGCCTTCTTTTCCAAAATATTTTATTCAAACCACAGAGACTGATATGATAAAAATGACAATACTAGGGGAACAGGCTCCCCTTTCTACCTCAACACATTTTTTAAAGATTTTATTTATTTATTCTTAGGGCGGGGGGAGAGAAACATCAATCAGTTGCCTCTTGTATGTGCACGGACCAGGGACTGAACCTGCAACCCAGGCATGTGCCCTGACCTGGAATCGAACCAACAACCCTTCACTTTGCTTCCCCTTGCTTTGTTTTGTGGAACAGTGCCCAACCAACTGAGCCACACCAGTCAGGGCAAACACTCAACTCTTTAAAGATGTCACTCCTGCCCTGGCCAGTGTGGCTCAGTGGTGAGCTACGAACTGAAAGGTCACCAGTTCAATCCCCCAGTCAGGGCACATGACTGGGTTGCAGGCCAGGTCCCCAGTTGGGGGCATGCGAGAAGCAACCAACAGATGTATCTCTCACACACTGATGTTTCTCTCCCACTCTTTATGCCTCCCTTTCCCCCTCTCTAAAAATAAATAAAATCTTTTAAAAAAAAAAGACGTCACTCCTTTTCCTCCTTTTTCAAGTACAAATAAAGAGGGTTCACAAAAACACTGTCCTCCACACTCAGCACACCAACATCTCATTTTCCGCCTTATAGGCGTAGTGAAGTTGTCTTATTGCGAAGCTAAAAAACTAGTTATCCCATCTGCATTTCAGCCACATCAGGCCAGCACACTGCTGGAGTAAGCAATGTTCTGCTTTTCAAATTTTCAAAAAAATTTTTTCCTCTCCAGAGGACGTTTTTTCAGTGTTTTTAGAAAGAGAGGAAGGAAAAGAGAGAAACATCATGTGAGAAACATGGATCAGCTGCCTCCCAAACACACCTGGACCAGGGGTCCACAGTGGGATGGAAACTGCAACCCAGGCATGTGCCCTGACGTGAAATTGAACCCACAGCCTTTCAGTTACAGGAAGGCACTTGAACCGAGCCAGGCTGGCCAGGGCAAATATCCTTTTTTGTAAATTCAAAGTTTCTCATTTTGCTACATGTATAAATAGCAGCTTCCTTGAAGGAAAACTAGAAGACATGACAGTCTTCCATTAGAGCCTTCCAGAGAGAACTTGAGAGGGACTTTGAAACTCATAGAAAGGTCATGAATCTGTCATCACACATTTGTATTTAGGCACACGGTGAGGAGGCAGGGACTAAAGATGTCTTTGATTCCACAGTACCCACCGAAGCTTTTAGCACTAAAAGTCAAACAGACAAATTATTACTTCCTGGATACCATTCTCTAACCTCTAACCTTCACTTCACTGAGTCAACACTGAACCAAAACTGACTGGTAGCTCTGTAGAGTAATCCAAGGACCATCGCTGATTTTCTAACAGCAGAATAAGATTAGATTCACACCAAGCTTCCCCATTCTTTAACAAGAAGTGCTGCCAGGCTGCCAAGAAATTCCCCTCCCCAGTCCCAACTTGGCCATTTCGGAAACATGAGAAATCAAGTATGTTGTAATCGTGGCCTTTTTGATATTGGATCTGAGTCCAAAATAAACTGTGTCTAGGCCCCAAGGCTGTAAATGCTGTATTTTCCAATGAAAAATTAAACAGCTAAGGAAGTTGTCAGGTTTCCTGTACCCAAAACAGGCACCACAGGCAGACCCAGTATAGTGATAGTTTCCAACCTTATTTAATGACAACAATAAACACCCAGCAGGAAGCTTCTAGTCATGGGTAATTTATACTATACACTGAGATCAATGTTAATGACAACAGGCTAACAGGATTCTGATGGAAGGTTAAGTTTAGAATCTTTAAAGGGAAAGAAGGCACATGTAGGGAATAGTAAAGGAAAGGGGGGAAAAAACCCTCCCACATGCTAGCAACAGTTCTAAGCACTTCGTGTGTATTTCCTAATTTAATACTCACCCACAACACTATACAATTGATATTACTAACAATCCCCATCTCAAGTATTTGCAAACAAAGAGGCTAAGCAACTTAGGCAAAAGTTTACACAGCCAAACACGTGGTACAAACTTGTAGCGTTTCAGATTCCACAAGAGTCCAGACAAACACAGTGTCCCCCTGGTTTCACCCATAATCACTAAAATTAGGAAAGCAAAAGTTTCTGGAAACCCTTGACTCTCCTTCCATATAATTTTTGCTTTTACTTTCCACTTTAAAGAGATGTCACATTCCTTTAACTTCCTAACACTCTTTGAAAGCAGTGGACAATATGAGAATATCTTCATTTCACACACAGGAAACTCAAGCCCAGATTCCTCAACTTCTCCCCTAGTGATGCACTTTTAAATAGTCTGATACATGAGGTGGGGTATTTGGGAAAAACAAAGTGGAAAAGGAATCCAAAGGTGACATAATAAAAAGTAAGCGACAGCTTTAAAATTAGGTATATATGAAACCAAACAAACGAAGAGCATCCACCCTATTTACATACCATTCCATACCACACTCGACAACTGCACAAGCAGGCCTAAAACCAATCTACACACGAGTACGCAGCTGCCCGCCCCGGCCCTTCGCGGGAAGTCGCTCTATTTGCTGCTCAAAAATGAACTTTTTGTTGAAGTGGGGAGCCCAGGGAGCGGACGAGGCCCCGGAGCTCCGTAGATAAGAAGGCCGCGAGGACCCTGCCATGTGTGCCCGTCGGCCTATTCCGCGGCGTGAAGCGGGTCACCCACCCCACCCTGGATCACGGGTGCCCGCGCGGCAGCAGGTCCAGTCAGGGGTTGGCCACTTCCCCTAGGCCGCAGAAATAAGGGGTGAGGGCACGGGAACTTCAGCGTTCGTTCTCCACCCACCCCCACACCCCACTCCCCGCGCCCTTTTCTCCCTTCAAATAACGCAGCTCCATCTGGACCCAGCGCCTCTGGCCCTCCCCGCCCGCACCGCGTCCCCCGGCGCCTTGTCCCAGGCAGACAGACCCACGAGCCGCCCCACGCCCTCCCGGCCAGACAGGGAAAAACAGAGCGTTCGCTTTACCCCTGACCTCGCTTGCCTTTGCCTTACCAGCTCCGCAGTCACCAGACAAGCTGTCCCCGCGCCAGAGGCTCCATAGTCCGGGACCCGGCGCCAAGCCATCCAACCCCTACCTGCCCCGCCATTGGCCGGCAGCACGGCAGCCGCGCATACCTATTGGCTGGATTCCCTGAATTCCCGGCAGCTGCCAGGGAGCGTGGCAACACTACCGCAAGTCAGGAGGCTCCGCCCACCCCAGAGATCTGGCTGGGGGCGAGGCCTCAGCGGCCTGGGCGGAGCTGCATCGCACAAAACAGGTGCTTACGCTGATTCAGTCCACGGAGTGTGAATTTGGAAGGCTCGCACCCCAAATAAGTTTCGTGCAATATTTCTTCTCGGCCTCACGTTAGCTGGTGGCAGTCTACCTTGTTTCTTCTGGAGACGTGGCTCGCTGAAGTACAGCTCCACCCTGCGAACCCTTTCCTCTCGCCCTTAGAGCCACATCATAGTATCTGTGCCGCACCAAGAACACCCCACACTTGAGAGGAACTGCGAAACATCAGTTACTGCAGCCAGCTCGATCACATCAGATGCCCTACTCCCAAGCCTTGGTAATTAATCATTTTCCTCCATCCTACCCATCAGTCTCACTTCTTCCCCCCGGCTTTATCTCCACTTACCCCAAAGTAATCCCACTCTATCCCCAGCCTCAATCTCACATCCTAGAGTCTTTTTCTGAAGATGGCAGCTAGACTAATGGTGCTATAGAGGAGAGAAAACAAATGGTCTAACAAACCACCCTAATTTTCTACAATGTCGTTTAGAGCTATAGAAACATTTCTAGACATACACCCCCACACACACACTTATAATAAAGATAGCCAAGCTTATTTAACCGAGTCGCATAAGCCTAGAGAGGAAAATCATAAACCCTTCCAACTTCTTTCTTCATGTAAGAACTGCTAAAAGAAAACTTCCCTAGTTGGTAAAAGAGTCCAAGGGATGAGAAAAGGAGAGTAAATTGCAAAAAGGAAAATCCAAATAAAATACAAAGTAAAAAACTTGGGGACCCCAAAACTGGGCTGAAAGCATCATTAACTCGTACAGGCTGATTTGCATACAGACTTTCTCCTGGAGAGAAAAGAAAATGCACAAATTAGTTCTGAGAATCTCTCTATAATACATCCGGGGAGTTTGAGAAATTCCCTCCAGACCAGAACCTTACCGGGGAGTTTGGGAAACTCGTCCCAGCTGGGCAACTTCCCTGGGCTGTTCCATACTTGCTAGTTACTTACTTAGCTCACAGTGTGGTGCCGCCTCCATCTTATGCTGCTTCTTCATTGTGCAGAACGGGTTTGTCTTCTCCCAGTGCTTGCTCCTGTCTCTATATATGCAGACAAGTGCGCCTCCCTCGGTTAAATAAGGGCACTTTAGGCTGCTCTGGGCAACAGAACACTGATAAAGATACAGCACGGAATTATAAGAGGCAAACTACATCCTTCAAAGCATAATCAAATTTCATCTTTGACCTGCCATGAAAAGGGAAGCAGCGTATATCTGCCACTCCTGGATATTAAACGAACAATTAATTGAGTTTGAAAACTTGTAATCTTAAGATTTCATCTGTTCCATTTGGAAGGAGCTGGAGGCGGTGTATGAAAGGGTGGAGTTAAAGGAATTGCTTTCCTTCATGACACCACTCCTCGTGGGTGAAGCTGGTTCGGGCACTCGTACCAGGGCTGCATGTGCAATAGGACTCTGCTCCCCTAAGATGTAAACTGAAACCAATTAACCCCAAGCCTGACAGTTCACAAGTATTTTCCACATAGGTACGTGAGCATCGATGCAATTATGAGGAGTCTCAGGGTGTGGGTAAAAAGGCCACCTGGCCTATCCCTTGGGATCTTAAGGACACGCTGGCACAAGCCCTGTCAATCAGTGATCCACAGGCAGAGAACACAGCTGCACAAACCCAGGACAAAGGGCCTGATAGCAAAGAAAACAAACAAACAAACAAACAAACAAAAAAACAAACCTTGAGACCGAAGAAAAAAACAACAAATCTGGAGCAAGCCCAGAATTTCTCAATCTGGGAGAAGTGGAACTAAAAGAATGAGGAAAATTTGCCTCCAGCAAATAAACAGCTTAGTAGGCCAGCTGGAGGCCAAGCTGGAATGAAGAAGCACTGGAGTGGGGTGGGCTACTGGAGAGAAGGAGGTGCTGCTTTCAGAAAGCCTTCTGGTGGTTTTAAAGAAAATCTCCGTAGGCGTGGAGGATAGATAGAGGAGCCCAGAGCAGCCCCAGTGTGTAAGGCCACATGCAGGCAGCCAGTGGTGTGGCAAAAGTCCCGGAGTTCAGCCATGTCCTGGTTTTTAGTAACTTGCTGTGGTAACCTGTACTTTAATAATGGTAATGGGAGAGTCGTGTACTTAAGCGGCAAGGGCTTCATTATGGAATGTAGCCCGATTTCCAGGTGGGATAGGTTTCTCTTTTGCAGGCTTGTTTTCTCAAGCATCTGGTCTGAAGCTTCTGAGGGCAGACTTCCAAGGTCTAGATGAATGGTTGATGGCAAGTTTTATGGTTTTTGTTTTTTAACCAATTTGAGGAAAACGAATGAATTTGACACAGAATTAAGGTAAGGTTTGTAATCAGTTTTTACTTTTAGCCAGGGGTACTGAAGCATTTTAGTTTGGTGAATAGATGTGAATGTCAATCTCAAAGGCCAATGACTCAAGGTAACAGAAGGAAGCCCAGTCTTGGGATAATCAGAACACCACAGGTTCACAGTTTCCAGGGACAACAGCACAAGTAGTTCTCCACTGAGAAAGTACCAGACAAGGACTTTGAGGTCCATTGGAGAAATGTCTGGTACTTACTATTTTTTCCACCCCTTAGTCAGATTTTTGAAGTATGTAACCCCTTAACTTTACCTGAAGCATTTTGGGGTGGTCTTAACAGGAAAGAGGGTATCTGCTTAGTACCATAAAAATATATGCAAATAAATGTGATAGAAGTAAATACCTTAGAATGAAAAAGAAAAGGAATAATTAACTCACATTAATGAAGGTTGGCTTCCAGCCAGAGACTCCGGTTCCTACACAAAACAGCCATGGAGTCAGGAGAAGAAACTAGGCTGGGATCGTCTGCCCAGGACCCCAGATTCAGGTCTCTAGTCAAGGGTTTCCAAAAGCACTAAAGTCCTCATTACACTTGAGCTTGTCTTTTTGTCCTTTCTCAGACAAGTGCTCTGAGGCAAAACTGGATTGGCCACCAATTTGTCCTTCTTTACAGGAAAGAAGTTAAATAAAATGACCAACTGAAGTGTTGGAGGGAAAAGCCCTATTTTACTTTAGGAATTCCAAAAAAGGAACGCATTCGACAATGAGACTCTACCATAGCCCACTGTTTCCTTTACTCAGCAGCCGCTCTCGCCTTCTACGCCCTTAGTTATCACATAGTAATGTTACCATACTTAAATGCCAGGTTCTTGAGATTTGATGCCATAGAAACAAGCAGTGAACTCAGTACAAGTCAAGTAGATAGTTTGTTGCAAAGAGCTTGTGCACGAGGGAGTCGACCAGGAAAGAGAAGTCAGTCTCCCACAGGGTGCTTGTGGATGGCTTTTACAGGGGTCTCAGGGTGGGCGTAGGGCTTGGGAATGAGGATGAAGTCAGTTGTCTCACGATTGACATCTGGTGGCAGTTGATCCTGGGGTAGTCACAAGATGTTTTCCGTGGTCAGTGGACCACCCAAAGGGCCTATAAAATAATGTTTGTGCAAACATTCTAGTTACCATGAATTGATGAAACAACTATTTTGCAGAAACTGGCATTAAGAAAGATGTTATCGTCATACATCTTTTCCTTTAAGGATGTGTTTAGGTTAATTTTAACCACAGAATTTGACTGAAAGCAAGGAGTCATAGGCCTCTAAGATGAAGATCTTTTCGTCAAGTCAGAATATAGATATTACCCCTTTACTGTCTCAGTGTTTCTCCTGCTAATCTGTCTTCCGTTAGTTCGATTCTTAGTCCAGCCAGAAGAACCTTGAACAGTAGAGGATAATTTTTCCTCCCCAACAGTATTTAATGTGTCATAAACATGAATTAATCCTCACAATAGGCCCTGGCCAGATAGCTCAGGTGGTTACAGCATTGTTGAGCTAGACCAAGGTCGCAGATTTGATTCCTGGTCAGGGCACATACAAGGATCAACCAAAGAACCCATCAATAAGTGGGACAGAAAATCAACACTTCTCTCTGTCTCCCCCACCCCACCCCCAAGGATTAAAAAAATCCTCACAATGAATGTGGGAGGCAGGAACTATAATCTTTGTTTTGCAAATTAAGAACCTGAATCTTAGGGAAGTTAAGTAATTCATCCAAGGACACGCAGCTAGTTAGTGATAGTGAGACAAGATAGTGAGAAAATAGAAAAATTCCTTGGCAAGTGGAATAGGGAAACTGAGACAGATGGCTGAACAATTTACAGTTGGGAGCAGATGGTCACCAGGGCAGAAGGCCCCTAGTGCCTGGCAGGGGGCAAAACTGGGAAAACAAGGACCTCACCCCCAGGGTAACCTCCTCCCCTGGCCTTTCCTCCCTGGAGATAACATCTAGGGCTCAGTTGTATTTCAGCTCCAGGCCCTGAAAAGTAGCAAAACCAGGTAGGCAAAGACCAGAACCAACTGCCGGGACAAAAGACCCCCTGTCACTGACCAATCAGTGGAGACCATGACCCTGAAAGGGCACACCTGGAGAAGTGATGAATATTCTGCTGAGACCCTCCCCTGAGACCTCCCCTAAGATTCAGGCCTGGAAAAAAAAAGAGATAAAAGGCTCAAGACAAAGGACCCAGCCCAGGCCATCTCCTTAAGGAAGCACCCAGTGCCGTTCCTTTCTCCCCCACTTCTCTCTTACCATACATTGCAGAAACTGTAGGGCAATGGGCAGCGGGCTGATCCCCTGAACCAGTCCCAAAGCCCCCTTTTCTCCGACTTCCCAGTGAGCTGAGGCAGCCCCGCCCAGGCTCTCCTGTTGCTTCTATGATAAGCCCTTCCTTCTTTCATTGTCCCAGCTGTAATAAATGCATCCTTGTAGTCACCTGGACTCGAGTTTGAAATCTTTCCTACGTGACAGCAAGAACCCACACACCACAGCTGCCCACAGG